CTGGGATAACACTGATCCAATAGCGACATTACTAGCATCAGTGGTCAATACAAATGGTTTAGAAAAGTCGGGATATTGGAGAATTGGGGCGTTGGTTAGTAACTGTTTACATTTTTCAAAACATTCTAAAAATTCTGGATTAGTGGGGTCAATGATTGCATCTTTTCGTGTGCATCTTGTGAATGGAGAGGTGATCTTTGCAAAGTTTTTACAAAAACGTCTGTAGAAGCCAATGAGGCCTAAAAAGGATTTTATTTCTTTGACAGTCTTGGGTAGAGGGTATTTTTGGATAGCTTCGATCTTACTGGGGTTCGGTTTTATACCTTCGGGAGTAACTATGTGACCTAGGAAGGCAACTTCTTTAGTCAGAAATTCAGATTTATCTAGTTGGACCTTGAGATTGTTTTTTCGAAATGTATCAAAAATTGTGGAGATGTGGACCAAGTGATCTTGTAAAGATTTTGAGAAGACTATAACGTCATCCATATAAACAAAGCAGAATTTGTGTAGGAAGGGTCTTAAGATGTTGTCCATTAATCTTTCGAAAGTGGCAGGGCTATTCTTTAGCCCAAAAGGCATTCGTAAAAATTCGAAGTGGCCGTGGGGTACTGAAAATGCTGTTTTGTGAATAGAGTTTGGGTGAACTTCTATTTGGTGGAAGCCTTGAGCGAGATCGAGGGTAGTGAAGTATGTAGCTTTTCCGAGATTGTCAAGGATTTCATCAATTTTTGGTAAAGGATACTTATCTCCGATAGTATTCTCATTTAGTTTTCTATAATCAATCACCATACGGAATTTCCGTTTTCCTGAGGCGTCAGGTTTCTTGGGAACAATCCATACGGGTGCTGAATATGGCGAAATTGAATTTCGGATTATCTTGTTGTCCAAAAGTTTGTTTACTTGTCGAGTGATCTCTTCTTGCATAGATTTTGGATGTCTGTAGCCTCTAACGTAAATGGGTGATTCGTCCTTGGTTTTTATTTCGTGTTTCACAGCAGATGTGAAAGTTAAATTCTTTGAATCATCGTAAAAAATATCTTTGTATTTTCTACAAAGTTTTATGATTTTTCTTCTTTCTTCTTCGTTTAGGTGTTCTGTTCTTATTGCTGGTTCGTTAAATTCGGTCGGGGAGGTGAAATTTCATAATTGTCTAGAGTTTCGACGTGTAAAGTGTCTAATTGCATAGGTTTTTGTAGTGTAATGTTTTCTAAAAATCCGTCACTTACATTGTGGATTGAGTTAGGTATTTGTAAATTTGCAATTTCTGTAGCGTGAATAAAGACTTGTCCTTGTTGTATGTCAACGGGTATTTTATTGTATAAAGTATGGAAATTAATTTCGACATTGTGAGTGGTTAAGTTTAGTATTTTAGTTTTATAATTAATTACGGCTTTAAAACGTTCAAGCTCAGAGTTTCCTAAAAGAATGTCGAAGTCTTCGCTCCAATCAGCGATTCGAGCATTTATGGGTTCGTAAATATTATAGACTTGTAGTAGAGGTGTTTTTATGTTTAGTAAACAGTTTTGGGTTGTTTTCATGGACGTCAGTGTGAAGGGTTTTTCGTAAATATGTGAGGGGTCAAAATATTTTAAAACTTTTGGTGAGACAACTGTGTGGGTGCCACCAGTGTCGATTAATACTTTAATATTTGAATCAGGTAAGAAGAAGAACGGTAGTCGGGGATTAGCTTGGAGATTACTTAGATCGATATTAATGGAGGATTTTCGTCTGTTGGGTCCTCGAGAAAATCCTGAGAAGTTTCTTCAATTAATTCTTGGGGATAGTCATTGTCATTAACTTCAAAATATTCAGGGGTGTATTCGAAATTTTCGTCTGAGTTTGCATTAATATTAAAATTATGCGTACGTCTAATAGTGGACGCATCCAAATCCATGGGTTCATTTCTTGTGGCAATAGTCTGTACCTCGGTCATTGGGGTAGCATGATATCTTTCAGGTTGGGGATTTCGGATTTGTCTATTGAAATTGTTATTATTTTGTGGATTATTTCTAAAAGAATTAAAATTAGAGTTAGGAGTTGCATTGGCGTTTGGCCTAGTAGCAAAATTTGTGTTCTGATGGGCATTGTTTCTTGATGTTAAGTTAGAATTGGCTTGAGAAAAGTTTTGTCTCGGGTTAGAGTTGAAGTTTGGTTGTCTCTGATAAGAGTTGGAGTTTGGTTGTCTCTGATAAGAGTTGAAGTTTGGTTGTCTCGGATAAAAGTTAGAGTTTGGTTGAAAAACATTTCTTGTGGGATTTGGGTTATTGTTAAAAAATGTCTGGTTTGTATTAGCAGGTTTTTGTTTTGGTAAAAATGGTTTATTATTTTGTTGCGTCTTTAAATAATTCATATATCTCTGTTGAGATTTATGATTGTCATAAACTATACATTTTTGGAGCGCTTGTTCAAGCGAAGTTATTGTAAAATGCGACAAATATTCGGCATATGGTTCATTAATACCTGTGCAAAATGTTTTTAAAGCTATATTTTTAAAATAGGGAGTCTTAAAATTAACAGTTTCGACGTTATCGTTTAGAGCTGTATGCTGTAATAAATCGTTTAAATTTCTTGTAATTCTCTGGTGGTATTGATCATAAGATTCGTGATTTTTCTGGACAGTCGTCGAAAGTTGAGTAACTAAGATATCTTCGGAGCGTCTGTCTCCGTACTTAGCTAAAAGCGCTGGCCTTACTTCAGCCCAAGCTGTTTTGTTTGAATAATTAAGAAAATCCCGCGGTTCGCCTTTGATACGAGCAATAATATTAGAGTTTAAGATAAATTCTTGCGAAGCTGTAAGCTGTTGGCCTACCAGGAATGTAATTAAGTTATCGACCGATTTTAAAAAGGTAGATAAATTATCTCCGGTGGAAAATTCCGGCAAAGTAGCACATAGGCTAGTAATATCGGCATTTAGAAACGGCATTTCAACTTCTGTGATAATAATAGTAGGGATTTGTTGAGTAAAATCGGGATCGGAGTTAATACGGGTGTTAGAATCAATTTCAGTATTTAAATTATTAACAGAGTCTTGCGAAATATCAATGAAAGTGCTCATAAATCAAAAATAGGAATGAAAAGGAAAATGTACTTACAGTAGGATGATCTGTTGGGATGTCCTGCACATAATCTTTTCTTTTCCGGTTCGGATTTCTCGTCTAACAACTTCGTCGACCAAGGAAACTGCTTATGTTTCTTGTACGAGCTGTATCCTGTTCGCAGCGCCAGATAAATTTACGCACTTTCAGAATGTCTTTTAAAAAAGGTTTTATTTTTAAAATGTACAACTAAGTTTTTACTTCAAAAATTAAACAATAAAAATTCTTAATTACAAAAATGAAACGCATTGATCAGAGAATGATAATGGAATGATTAAATTATAAAATTGAAAAATCAAGTTTATTGTCCGTTGTTTTGCAATTGCTGAGCTTGCTACTCCTTGAAGTTCAATGAACAATAATGTTAATAGTCTGGGAGCTAATGGTTACATTTCTATATATATATATATATATATATATATATATATATATATATATATATATATATATATATATAACAATTCACGGCTCTACATCTTTGAAAGAGAACTTGTATTGCAAAAAGTACCTCTCGAGTACCCAATGCATCCCTGAAGCCGAATTGTGTGTTTGTCATGTGTTCTTCACACTTTTTAAGAAAGTTTTCAGGAGATGGCTCATAAGGCTTATTATTCGATAATCTTCACATTTTTTGGCATTGGGTTTCTTAGGGATTGTTACAAAAGTTGATCTTAGCCACTGTTGGGGTATTTTTCCACTTTGGTATATATTACTGAAGATCAAGGATCTTTTTACTTATGTAACTTAGTGGGTTATGGTCTGACTTAATATCTGCACCAGGGTAGGTTTTCACTGATGTTATTGAGATTTTGAATCTTTTATTTATTAAAATATAGTCAATCTGGTTTCTTATGAGATTTTCTGGCATGTCACAGGGTGAGAGCTATGTGTACAACCTTCTGTATGGTAATTTGAACAGTGTATTGGTGATTACCAACTCTTCTTCCGTAGAAAATGTGAGTAGGCGTTCTCCTCTCTCATTTCGCTCACCCAGACCTCATGAACCTACTACTATACTACAAAAACTAATAATGAATATTTTTACTAATGTAGGTATTTCCGTAAAGTGAATTTTTTGACTATTTTAATGAATCCCACGGTAGATTAGCTTGTTTTTCATAGAATTTATTATATAAAATAGTACGAATTGTAACAAAATTACATATCATATAATTAAACCCACAATTAAAAATTTGTGTTACCTTACGCTCGGGAATTTCTCCTTCGGTTTCATATAATAATAATCTTATTAATTAATTAATTAATTTTATTTTTATTAATATTTTAATTAATATTTTACTTATTTCGAAATATAAACACAATTCCAAACTCTCACTGTCTCACACTTTGGTAACTAAGAAAAAACGAATTACCACTTGTACGCCTGTTTCGCTAGTGGATTTAAAGATTAAGAGAGTAATGAGTTGGGAAGCGTGGCAATACGACATGTCTGCTTTAGCGTTTGCTAACGCAGTGTTGAAAAAAAATTGTATTTTCAAGAAAACTCGCCTATTTCAATACCCAGTAATAGAAAATATGTCTAAAATTATCTATAAAATTTGCTTATTCTCAAAATTTTTAAAAAATCCACTAAACAATTTTTTTTTCAAAAAATTCCTATTGCCTATTTTACATTTATACAAGCATTATTTTTGGGCGATTTTGTATGGGATACGAGAATTTCATCTAGGTCGGGTGATTATTCGGAAGGATATAATGGAAGAACGCTTCGAGTGGGTATAGTAGCCATTTAAGACCAGCAATCATGTACAGCACTAACTATTGAATTTGTGTGTGTGGTAATAAAAACGACAAAGTAAATATAGTAGAGGAAAGAGTACTCATCAATAGAGATCAAGATGAGAATAATTAAATACGAAGAGTAGCTGAATGTCTATTACTTACTCAGAATTAAAACTTGCGTCAGTAGTTTCACTTCCAATGCTAGCTTGAAAATCAGATGAGAATGATGTACTTCTAAAGCCTTGTTTGGAATAATCGTTAATAATGTTCTGAACATCTGGTGGTAAAGTAAGGCATAACATATCCAAAGTCACTTGGATGTTTGTTTGGTCAATTATATCAGTTGGAGTCTCTAAATTTTGAATCAACTCTCCTGAAATTAAAATTGATAATACACCATTTATGAAAAATTCACTTTGTAACTTTAACGCTAATAATTCACTACCGAAAATTAGGGTCACCCGTAATTTGAGGTTATTTTAGACACCTTTATTACTTAAAATTTCCCTATAACTTTCTTTCGTTGTTTTTTCCTGAAGCTTACAGAATAATTTCTCCGATTTTTTATTTACCTGCAGTAATTTATATGATCTATTAAGAAAACATTGAAAATTGTGAAGTTTTCAACACTTCCACTAAATTTATTATAATTTATTATCACTACAGCTGTTTCGGCAGAGTGCCTTCCACAAGTGATCTATTTTTGGTATACGTTTAAGCTTGATAGTCTTCAACTGAATGAGTTGAGGAGGGAAGAACTATTTGTAGCAAGTGGGTCATTTAGAATTATGTATTAAAGGTCTCACCTTAAGACCTTTATTTTGAATGTGAAGAATTTGAAATTCGTCATTAAAAGAATGGTTATGATCTAGAAGGTGAGGTGCGTATGTAGAATCTGTTTTTCTATTATTGAAAGCCCTTTTATGTTCTGCTATTCGTTTATTATAATTTCTACCAGTTTGACCGATGTAAGTTTTTGGGCAGTCGCCACATTTAAGCTTGTATACACCACTGTGTAAGTAAGTTTTTTTTGCCTTAGGTTCAAGACCTATTTAGCCAGACAATATTGGTTGAATACGTAAAAACAATCTCCTACACTTCCTTTAAATTCATAAAAATTTCCTAACCGTTCGTTCATTCGCACATTCACTCAATTTCCTAAATTAACCATTGAAAACACTATTGGGTTACTATACAAAAAGGATTGAACAGGAACACACGCTTCACGCTAAGGTGCCCTTAATAACGACTTTTTTAACACAAACAATACAGGCAAAGGTTAAGGGTAAATTACATAAAAGGAAAGACAATGGGAAATACAACAACTAACGTCCTACCATTTCGGATTCACACAACACTGAGGGACGTTTAGATTTTCCGTTTGGTACGTTTGAAAAATTCCCATAAAATCGATCTAATAGTTGAATTTCGACTACCTAAATAGAGAATTGAAACATCCAGTGGTTAAGGTCGTCATAACTGCCATTGCATTCACATATATCAGTTTCGGAAAGTTTTATTTTATTATGGGTAAGCATTTACTGTAGCATGTCCAAAAAGGCATCTAACGTATATAGCAAAAATTTTCCGAGAGATGGAACTTCTGTCATTTAGAGGAGTAGATGGAAGATTTGGATATATACTGCAGTATGTATTTTTGCTACTGTTAGTAAAGGATTGCCACTCAATTTCCCAATTAAGTCTAACACGTTTCTTCCTAGCTGAAACTATATCCCATTTGGGCAACTCGTACTCTATACCCACTAAAGTAGCGTCTTTAGCCAAATGGTCTACTTTTTCATTGCCTGGAACCCACACAAAGTTAACAATTCTTTTTAGAGAAGTTAAGATCCTTAGCTTTTCAAGCGCATCTACAATTAGTCTGTTGGTATAAATGTGTTTAGAGAAGTGTCTTAATGCGAGGAGGACGGACTGTGAGTCAGATAAAATTATATATCGTTCGAAATATAATGTGCTATTAATTATCCAATCCAACGCCTTGACAATGACTACCAATTCAGCTGTGAATATTGAGCAGTCTGATTTTGATTTGTACTGAAAATAATCTTGAATATTGTCTATGTAAATGGCACAGCCAACACCAGCAGGCGATTTTGAACCATCAGTATAAATTTTACAAGAATGGTTAGAGTCTTCCAGCTTGTTCTGTACTACTAAATCTTCGTGAACAATTGAAATAGATAAAGGAATTACTACAGTAGGTTTATATTCATATAGTAAGTCATAATTGGAGCCAAAGAATGGAATCCCTCCTCCATTGAATGAATATTGTGATAAATTGGGAAAAGCAACAGCTAGAGTTGGAGAGTTTTTATTTGCCCACCATTTGTTTGTTAGATTTTCAACAGAGAGACAAGATATTTTTTGTAATAAGCTGTTTTGATTATTAAACTGGCATTTAAGAATAATTTTTTCTGTCAAAAATAGACGTCTTAAATGTAAAGGTGGCTCGTTACATTCTGCCAAAAGGGCTGGTGTGGGAGTAGATTTGAGAGCTCCTAGGACTAACCTTAAAGCTTTGTATTGTATTCGATCCAATTTAATCAAACGAGATTTTGTCGCTGATCCATAGAAAAAGCTTCCGTAGTCCAAAATTGATCTGGTATATGCTCTGTAAAATAATAAGTTTATTTTCGGGTCTGCTCCCCAATCGTATCGATTAACGGCCTTAAGGATATTAAGGCTTTTTTCACATTTGGTAATGCAATTATTAATATGCTCGTTCCAGGTTAATTTTGAATCCAAGGTAACATCTAGGTATGTAAAACTGTTATATACAGGAATTTCCAGCTGGGAGAATTTTAACGTACTAACTTTTGGTAACCTGTGTCTCGAAAAAAATACTACATCTGATTTCTTAGGTGAGATGTCAATTCCATGGCTATCAAAATACTTTTGGCAATAAGACATATTTACTTTAAGGGCATTAACACATTGTTGAAAAGTTTTTTTCTCAACACAGAAACAGAAGTAATCAGCATATTGTAAAATGTTGACTCTTGTTGTTTTAATATATTTGCCTAAGACCCCTTTCAGACGAGGATACTCTATGTGAGATACTGTATGCGAGATACAGAATTTGTGTCTGAAAGATACAGAAATGTTTCTTCTGTATCTGGCATAGGCATTCGGTATCTCGCATACTGTATCACTCGCGCGTCCCGTGTGAAAAGCTCCATTTGAGTCTATGTAATATCTGCGTCGCGGATACACGTATCTCAGATACAGTATCCTCGTCTGAAAGGGGGGTAAGTTGTTGTTTGTTCTGAAAGCTGGTGTTATTCCATTCTTTTTTATGTGTTTGGCTATTTTTGTTGATATTTTGCCGGTATATATGTAATCGAGCAGAAGGTACTGGGTTTTTTCTCTGGTGGTGGAAATAATAATTTCAGGGTTTTCTTGTGTAGTTTTTGATTTAAAATTTCATTAATTGTTTGTTCGTTGTATCCGTTGTTTACTGCTATTTGCTTAATGATATTTAATTCTGTCTCAAAGTTATATTTTGACATCGGAATTTCGGTTAATCTATGTAACATACTATGATAGGCTACCAGTTTATGTTGTGTGGGATGGGATAATGAATTCTGTATAGTCGTGTCAGTATGGGTAGGTTTATAAAATATGGAGAAGTCTTGTAGTCAACAACCAACTATTTAATAGATTGTTTAGTCTATTTCTTGCATTCATACTCTACGTCCACTTCAGTTGCCCTTAAACTAACACCCTAATTATTACAGACAGGTTTGAGTGTGAGATCTGGATTATGCAATCTACTTAAAGTAATCTATATAATTTCATATTTCATCAGTTGATTTCCCATAGTAGTACCAGTTGGACCTTTGGTCAATGCTCAGTTTCATAGAATTTTGAAATGTGCAGATCACGTCACCATGATTGTTACTACCCATCCAAGTTGTCATATTATGTCACCTTAACATTTCCGTTAAGACCAGGAGCCATTCGCTCTCCTAAGGCCAACCAATATGTAGCTTCGCCGTTTTTTTTTAATTTTAAACTGTTTGTCCTTGTGTCGTGTAGTGTGAATGTATAATTTTATAAAAAAACACAGAAGTTAAAACACTTCACAAATGTGTATTTAGGTATAAAACAAACAAACAAGTTAAAACTTTTTAAAAAAGTGTCGTCACATTTAAAGTTCTGGCAGAACGTTTTCGATCACTACGGATCATCTTCAGTGCCTAGTATTTGTTGCTAACTATATAAATATGGTGTCTATAAGACTTCCATGTTTGAGTTGGTAAAGTGTCACATTTTACATTAGGTAATGTTGATACTGTAGGTCGATGACAATGGATGTATTTAAAATTTAAAATTTTTTACTTTAGGGACTACATGTCTCCTAAGCTCGAGTACTTGCACGTTCAATGCTCACGTATAATTTTATGTTTATGACATTCTCAATAGATTGTTGGATATGCCAAATTTGACGAAATGAGTCTAAAACGTTATATTACATAAAAAACATTTATCAACCATCAACTTCGAGTTTCTAATCGAAGTTAATTAATGTTCTTTAAAAAAAAAGTTTCTTGAAAAAAACGTAGACTTCATTTATTTAAAGTTTATTACATATTACACTGCTCCCCATAGTTATAACCGATGATTAACCATTTAATATTATATCGAATTTCTAATCGAAATTAATTAATTTTCTTCAGTTGAAAAAACGTTTCTTGAAAAAACGTAGCCCTTCATTTAATTCAAGCTTATTACATATTACACTCTTCCCCATAGTTATAACCAATGATTGACCATTTAATATTATATTTTTATAAACCAGCTTCGCTAAACCTTTTGCTATGACAAAATTGGCCCTTAACCTTAATATTGTAATACGTTAGAGAACTTACCTAAACATGTGGGTAACACCCTGACTGCAGTGTTGGTACACTCGCTTCCATTATATTTTAATGTACAGATAAGGTGCAAGAAAAGAGGAGTAACTTCATTGCTGTGCACCAGATCGCTTATTCCACTTACCGCACTCTCCGTTCTTTGTAAAAGATGGGGTCCTTCTGAAAAGATACTGACATCTTCCGATTTGAACTCAATAATTTCTGAGTGATTATCCGACACTTCATCGTCGCTATCTGCAATATTTTCGTCGCCAGCATCAACACTTTTTAAATTTCTATAAAAGTAGAATTCGTTATTAGTTGCTATTGGACAAAATATTGTATTGATCAACTTGAAGAACTTTTCTTTAATGAGACCATGTAGAGACTTAAGATCTAAACAAGGCAAAGCATTGTTCAGCTCGTTAACGGATATATTCCCTTGATTGCTGTTTTTAATATGGGCACAAATGGTCGTTATATATTGAGTTATGTCAATTTCCGTAATTGACTCCTCACATTGATCCATAGCTGATTGAACATCGAAAGAATGTATATTTGCTCCCATATGCAATGCTGCAAATAAAGATGTCGTAAAGCACTTCGAATGAGTAAGTACCAATGTTTTGCAGTGTTGTTTCAAATTGTTGTAATCAACCATAGTTTCATCTTTAATGTCCATACTTTCGTAAGCATCTTCAGATTTTAACCTTAAACAGAAAAAATATATTGCAAAGATGTATCAAGCGGAGAAAGTAGCAAAAGGATTAGTTTGATACTTTAGTATACATATACGGAGTAGTAAGCATGACAGCAACCAACCAAGGAACAGAATTTATGACAAGAGTTTTTAAAGATATTATGCCCATTGAAGGGACATTGAGTTAATGACCGAGTTGTATGTTTTAAAACATCTTCACATAAAACAGTTTTTAGGTGATAAAAGAAACAACATAATTACAGTCTTACTTATAAAGTGATTTTTCTCATTGAAACTATAAAATCTGTGAGTAGAAATATTTATCCAAGTAAACAAGAATCAATTATTGGTTATAAAGCAACAACTTTTTACTGCTACCGTCTATCAGTTCTGGTGTCAAAAAGACAGGCCGGACTAAGTTTTTTAAATTTATCGATGATAATAATTAAAAATGGATCATCTTCCACCTCTTGGGGCCCCCGAACAAGAACTGGAGCAACATTCATCAAATCCAAATATGAAACAATCTTTTGCAACTGTCACAAATCAAAATGTACCTAAATTTCCGTCCAAATCACAAGCAATAGTTTTTCCAGTGCTGGAAAATACAAAGTTGGAAGATTATTTGTTTGCAGTTGATGATTTAATGCATCCCAAAAATATTCTTTGCTCCTCTAGAATGTCAAATGGTCGAATTTGCATATACCTAACAAGCGAAACTTTAGTTAACAATTTTCTACAAATTAAAGGAATAACTGTAAACCACCAAAAAATTCAGGCTCGTAAATTGTTACCAAATGAAAGATTAGTTATATCAAATGTTTGTCCTTCAATCCCACATTTTATTATTGAAAATGCACATTCTACTTTGGGATTAAATTTTGCAACACATTTTCAGTTTCAGAAGGCATACTTTTATTTGTCCCCAAGTCACATCAATACCTGACTCAATAATTGTAAATTCTGAAATGACATCATACCGTATATTTCTTGTAATGGAGAAAGATCTATGTAATAATTGCACGAAAGCACGATATTCGGCTGATAATTGCACAACTGTTTCGAGAACTCAAACACGAAATGCTGCTCCAACTACTTCAACTGATCCAATAAACAATGAATACATTCCCCTAACTTAAACCATACCTTGCTCTGCTAACACAGTATCGACTTAACCGGATATCCATATTTTACGATGTTACAGAAAGCATTGATTCCCAACAAATGTCACTGGATCCTCCTTCAAACAAACGAAATCGTTCTGAAATTATAACCTCTCCACCAAATGATACCCTAGTAAATAACCCCTTTCCAGACCCAAACTTAAAAAAGCCAAAGTCTTCAATCATAAACATAGAAACCATTAAAGTAACTGACTATATAAAAAATTCAGCTGACGAATAGATGAAGATACTTAGAAACCCATTAAATCTTATGAAGCATTAGTTGATATATTGGAAAATGCTCATGATACCGTTGATCCAGTAAGCTTAATAAAAACTTACACAAATGATCTAGAAAGCCTATTGAAACTTTTAAATCAACTACATGGAAATGTATCAAATAGGAAATCAAAAAATAAATGCACTAGACTACGAAACAAAAACTTAAATCCATACAATCAGAAACAAACTCCGAATCCGATAATGGAATTGTAAAATGGCTTTCTTAATTCCAGTGTACGTTCCAGTGGAACCTACGCGGGTATTATACTCGTCTAGAGATGTTACAACAAATGATTAAAAAACTTCACCTGCACATGTAACAATAAAGAAAATGTAGATTATGCTAGTGGGGGCGTAGCGATCTACACTCATTCATCCATCGATGCAGAAATTCTTCAAATCAATACACAACTTGAAGCGGTTGCAATTACAATTAAAGGACCCATAAAAATAAAAATATGTAATATACTTTACGGACACAGTATATACATTCCACCTCAATGAAGCTCAATGAACTTGAATTCAAATTTCCAAATACCTACTGTTTACCAAATGTCAACACTGTTCCTCCTTGTTTCCATCCCAACTATCAATACCAAACTCTTTATACATAAAAAAGCCGGTAACCATCCCAAAGCATTATATCAATATGGCCTGCAAGAACTCAAGACACACAGTAACCAAAAGGAGCATTTATATTTAATAAAACAAAAATATTAATTAAACTCCCCAAATTAACATTCATTCGGAGGCGAGTTAACCGCTATCCTCAATGTAATAAATTTTGTGGTAGAAAATAGTATCAAAAACACTGTCATTATTACGGACTCCCAAGTTCTGTAACTGCCTTAAATAACTTATATCCTAGCCATCCAAGTCTACTACTTATTAAATCAGCATTAAACCAACTGCAAACTATGAACATAAATATCAACTTTGTATGGATTCCTTCACATATCGGAATTACTGGTAATGAAGAAGTAGATTCCTTGGCAAATCTAGTAGTCTTGAGTCCGGATGCTGTAGAAAAAAAATGCATTCCACATCTAGATGTAAAACCTATAATCAAGAACTTAGTAAGCAATGCTTGGCAGACCAAGTGGAATCAATCAAGATCCAAACTACGAGAAATTCAACATTCGATATTACGTTGGAAATTAACTCCAAATAAGCGTTTATATAAAACTATCCTATCTCGCCTCAGAATAGGCCACACTGGCATCACCCATAAACATCTGCTGGAGAGTCAATTAAAACCACAGTGCTACATATGTGATATTGTGCTCCGTGTTCGCCATATTTTACTGGAGTGTTCTTTATATTGCATGGAGATACTTGCAATATCAATTACAAGATACCTTACAAGCATTATTAAGTGACGGAACGACATGAAAAATTTGTCATTTGAGGTTGAGGCAAAAATAAATAAAAAAACATGCACATTTCAAGTAGCTTAATTCAGTAGCATATCACCACGAAACAATAACTGGCTGATCTGAACGCAATTTAAGAATACAGAATACAAGTTTTCGAACGCAGGGAGTACATGGATATTGAGGTACGGCCGTAGCATCGTCCGAGGTATTCGGAGTTTCTGGATGGTTTACGACCGCCGTTCTGGAGGAGGATCGAAGGTGTCTCGACTTTATCCTCGTGATCGTGGAGTTTATGTGATCTAGGCTTCCGCTTAGCAAGAAGTTTATCGGGGACTCTGCGGTCGACAAGATGCCACCAGCAACCAGAAGACACAGTTCGAGGTTTATTTCTTACGTGAATTTGTCTTACATGAATATTTGTTTAGTATTCTGTGCACGTGGATGCCTTGAGTCTTAAAGAGATGCCGGGTATAGTCGACACGTAATTTCGTGAGTAAATTTATAGGACCCAGAGCGAGCCAAATCCTAGAAAATGGCAACAATGTTAGACTGGCCACTGCTTCGATGAGCAGTAGCGTAGATATCTAATTTTAAATTAGATAAAAAAGTTTTTATTTTTATTTAATTTTATTTAAGAAAAAGTTTCATTTTCTATAAAGTTTAAAGAAAAAATATTGATGTTGTTAACTTCTGTGGTATATCTAGGGAGTGATAACACTAATAGGCTCACTAAACAGAACTTATTGTAAAATAATAATACCTATAAAAAATTGTTAATAAAAGTAATTATCACATACAATTAAACAATTTTTTAGGTAAAAGTATTTTAGTATACAAACGTTTTAATAACACAACTACAAATCTTAATTATGCTGGATTTTCACAGATCCGATGACACGAAATACGAAATTTTTTTGTACGAATATATTTGATTGTCGTATCCGAAATTTTTTGACATTATTTGTGTTATGTGTCAGATTATTGGATGGACTGATATTTATTTCAATGAACTGTCAATAAATGTTAGCTGTTTTGTTTGATATATAATATATATTATATTGAGCTACGTTCTCGTAATTTTTGCCTCACATAGTGTAGAAGACCCAGAAACAACACTTTATTCATTGCATTTATATAATAATTAGGTCTTTGTTCCATTTTAAATATATTTCAAATAGTAAACATAAACACTCCACAAAAAAAAAGGTTAAGGTTCAAGTTAGAAATGTCAACAATGTCAAAATTTATCCGATTTTCGTGCAAAAGTTAAAATATTTTTAACTTCTTCCGATGACTTTTAATTACGTACGAAAATTTTACCTGTCATTTTTCAACCAATGAAATTCTCTGAAATTTATATCGTATCATCATACCATCGGATATCGGATCTGTGAAAATCCACCTTTATTGGTTGAGTGACAAGGTTTCATGTGTCACCTTGTTAGTTGGAACCCTGTCATTTTAACCTAATGATATGTTGTACGTTTTTGTTCTATCATGAAGTGTATTTGTACTCTATTTTCAAAGATATATAAGCAAAACGAGAATATGTACAATTACAATAAAAATAAAGGTTTCAACTAACACCTAGTTGGAAATAAGAACTTAAAAATCTACTCAGATTCACTGTTATCACTAGTATCAGTTGTATCTTCTAAATTTATAGTTAATTTGGTTATTGCTGGTAAATATTTAACATAGTCATTTTCCACTTTGATTACATGTTTGATTACATTTTTGTAGTTGGTTGCTGTGATCTTTGTGACTTCTCTTCTAATTAACTGGAGAGCAGTAGACAAAAATTTAGGAGCCACGTTTTTTCTTCTTCTATTTGCTTCAAGTTGAGTCCATATTAACTCTATTGGGTTCAATTTACAATAGTAAGGAGGAAGTCCAAGCACGGTATGCCCATTACTGCGAGTACAGTTATCAACAACATATACCTTCTGGTACTGTCTACTATAAACAATCTCCAACAATTGCTTTTTACTATGATGCCTCAAAGTACAAATCTCTCCCAAATAAAAATTCTTGAATTTGTTTCAAGTACTATTTGGAATTTTCTCATTAATCTTGAATGATATGATACGTTGTCCATATAATAATCACACTATATTTAGGTAATCTCGGAAGAAGAGATTCTTCAAACCATGATTCAAAAATTAAACTTTTCATGTCCTCATGATAAT